AGTTTAGTTAAAGTAACGCATTATTAACATTTTTGAGGTAAAGTTCAACATTACTTTTGTTTTCTTTATTTTATATTATATGTATCAAATGCATATGATAAATGATAATTATCATTTAGATCTTCAGAGAAAAATAAGCACTTGTGATTAGGGGAGAATTAAATACAAATTTATTTATAATTAATATTAGTGTCTTAGTGAATAGTAATAAATACTATATATTTGGTGCTTATGAGAATGTCTTATTGATGTTACTTAAAATGTAAATTTAGATAGTTTAATACATTTATTATGATTACTAAGAACGATTATACTTTTAATTGAGTCTATATTTTTGGGGTTTCATGATAATAACATAATTAAAAAAACAAAATAAGTAAAACTTTTCAATTACAAGTGGATGGACACGGGACATCAACGACGCGCGACGATGAGATTCGCAACGCAGTAGGCTTCGTTGATGGGTCACGCAGATACCTTATAAATGCGCACACAAATATTTTATAATATGATACACGATTTGACAGCGTGAACACTTTTCGATTGGCTTCAATTAGTCCAGTGACGGGCAACAGCTGGTCATAATCGCCGAATAACAAATTCTGATTGGGTAAAATACCGCTATAATTTGGATTTAAAAAGTTTTTTATTTAATAAATTGGAAACGAGTCTTAATAATTGTTGTCCGAGTATCAAAGCTGTAAAACATTTTGCGAGCAAAATATGTCGGTTTTTCAAAAAATAATAATTATCTTGCATCATATAATATAAGAACCCAATACAGAGTTGTAAAAATATAAAAAACCGACTAAAACATATCCGAGTCAAAAAATCATCCGACGCGCTTACAAAAGTTTGCAGTAGGTATACAGCAATATGTTTCGAATGAATTCGCATTGAAATAATTTATCCTCGTCGTCGGCGGCGCTGCAGGGTATACCTACTGCAATTACTTGCACATAYACCCAGCAACAACCCCTCGACGGGCGCGACGTAGATAACAACGATAACGGTAGTAATGATATGTATATTATACGGTCGTGTAGTTTGACTAACAGTCTTTTTGCACGGACTGCCGCGGAATAATATTGTTGACATTAATCCCGCGGATTATCCGCGCCGGGCGTGTGCGCCCCGTTTCATTTTCCACCCACCCCGGGCGGCCGCAAAGCGAATGGGGTGAAAAATGAAAAAAAAAAACACACACACACAATATAATATAATATGTACATAAACCCTCGTCGCACACACGCGAATTGAACGCTAATGGCGTATTAAACTATATAGCCGTGCAGTTGTAGTACCGCGACGACGACGGGGAATAATAAATATAACGGATTAACAGATAGCTATATATAGAGGGGGAAAAACCTTATTGTGCAGTACCCATATATATATATATTTATTTATTCGGCGTGGCAAACAATTACGAAAAAAGGGGTGGCTCGACCCCGTGAGTATATATGCGTGTACGGTTTGAGGCGTGTATACGCACACCGGCTGCACCCTCCTCTCTCGTTCTAATTATTATTATTATTACACAACGCGCGACGCTCCCCATGTGTACACCTAACTCCAATACACGCGTACAATACATTTATATTCGCATATACAGTCTACTCTACTTTATACAAATATACATCACCACCGCTGCGTGTATACGAACCGCCGTCGTGCCTTTTGTAATACGATAATGGCCAGGGTAGATGTGAAAAAAAAACACAAAACCACCACCAGCACCGTCGTTATTATTGAGACGTCGCGATTGAGCATCTCATCTCCTCTAGACCCGTCCCATCCACTCGTCATCTAGCTCATCCGCATGACCGATATTCATCCCATTAATTTAGCTTGCTCATCTCTGGCGGCGAAACAAATCGTGGCACACGTGTTCGCCAGTTTATAGTGTTGGCATAGCTGCAGGCTGCGATCCAGGGCTTGATGAGTATAATACACACTACATAGCCACTACAACCACGGCCGGTAACTTTGTACGTCGGCTCTAAGAGTACTTAACTTCCGGTCGGTAAACACTTTTCAAAAATCGTTTTCCTCTGGATAAACATGCTACAGGAACATTGGATAAACAACGAGTGCCGCTGTACCCGCACACTCCGAAAAATGAAAAACGACGTTAGAATAATCGCCGTATTTTGAATAGAGGTTCAGGTGGGTAAATAATGAAAAAGATAAACAAGCTGGGTTTCTACATGCATTATTATATCTATATTTAATTGTTTGAAAATAAGAACTATAAAATGAAAACAAAAACCTTAGAAAGAAATGTAAATAAAACAATATTTGTATTTCGTGGGGGAATTGTATAGAGTTAAGCAACATACCATTGATTACATTCAAATGTATTAGTTATATAAAAAAAAGGAAATTTATAAAACAAAAAAATTATAGGTATACCAACGCGATTACCAATACACATAAGTATAACGAGGGTAGATGGGCATTGTCGTTGTAATGAACAGTTGTTGAATGATCATTGTTGGTCAGGTATACAACATTTTATACCTTGAGATTATCTTTACATAATAATATCATATGCAAGTGTACAACACAATAAAAATAATAATAATAAAAACATTTCTTGTTTTTGGATTTAACCTTGATTTATATTATATTATATTCGTAACGGATGTAAAAAGTAAGTCAATCGAGGTCTTCAATTTTCCCGAAATTAAATCTGGTTCACGTGTTCAAAACAGCGCGGTGTGATTGATAACCAAATTCTCGTCATTGTATACATTGATGCACCATTGAGTGAACAATAAAAATATCAATATTTTAAACCAAAACCATGTTTCATCCTTTATTTTTCGCTGTTTTTAATTGGAATTGGAATGTCTTAATGTGTTCGATATTGATTTCTAAAAATAATTTTTAGACATATATACTCATAAATTATCRATCATTTACCTAACATTTAAAAATATTAATTTTAAACAAAAACMATTACTCACTGACTGATTTAGCCATTTCCATGAGCTCGGATGACTCCAATAGGTCGTCTGACCCTGTAATTAACGTAACTAGTCCTGTATTCTCACCATATTCTTCTGTAAAATAGTTGCAACATTCCAAAATATGTTTGAAATTGCTGTATACATAACAAAAAACACCATAAATATATTGACAGAAACTTTGAAGTAATTAAATTATTAAAGTAATTATAGCTTGCCAAATTTCTTTGCTCAATTTCGGTGGACTGTCTAGTTTAATAGGTAGTGATTCATGTATTCCYTGGGATTTTAAGTTGCAGTTTCCCTCTTGCAACTGAATTTCTAACCAACGTATAGTCAGTCTGACTTCTTTGCTTAATTTCTTTTGCTCATCTAATGCCGATATTACTAAAACAATAATAATAATTATAAAATAAATAACAAACAAACTAAATATGTTAACAATTAATATAAACAAATAATTAATTCGTTCAAAGTGTCAAGTTCATACCGATTGCGGGTACTACTACAATAAAATTGGTGCTGTTAACGAGTTTCTTGATTATCGACGAATAATTAATCAATGCATCTGTATCGATCACGATGCACGTGGGCAATGACTTTTTTCTTGAAGAGTAGTGTTTCATTTTGTACTCCAGATTGTCCACTTCCGATCGGAGCCACAGTTGACCCATCACGTGTTGTTTGTCTCGTTTTGCGTCCTTTAATGATTTTTCGTCGGTCTATAAGAAAACACGAAAATAAAATAGAGTATAAATAGGTAGAGGTACACGAGCGGTACGATGATAAAATGAAAATGTCTTATGACGACGACGACGTTCGGTTTATTTGTTTTCAACGGTTATAACGTTCCACCAGAATTGCTCTGAAATTACGATTCCCGTCACCCCTCTACTACTACTACTACTACTATTATAGCAGAGTGAAGACGATAAAACCGTCGTCTGCGATTCGAGTCCATGTTCATTCTAGTTTCCGTTTTGTCGACCGTATTTAATACGTCTGGAATCTTTTATCGTCCCTCGAATATAGTCATAAAACCGGCAGACCGTACGACGATAATGGAATACGGTTAAACGCTCGGCAAAAGGGCTCCCTTACGACCCCTAACCTCAAAGCTTTACGGTTATAAATTTCCCAACCTCCATTCTATCACCGGATCGGCCAACGGTGACATGCCCGCACAACGCCGTGCCGGAGCTTTTGCTCGCTTCTCTCTCCCGCTTCCTAAAGCTATTACGCTATACTAAATAGGAAAAGGAGATGGGATTCTTGTGATTCTTTCATCCCCCGAGGCTGAAGCAAGGGTACATTTTATTTCATTGAAATTTAACTCTCAAAGAATAAACAAATACAGTTTATACTTCTTTATGTGTTATGTCCTACCTTAGACTTACTTAATGTTTTCATTWAAGTGTTAACATCTGTATACTTTGAAATGCTAATTGGTATTTTATTGTTTTTTTAAGTGATTTATTTTTGCTAAAAAATATAATACGTTAATTATTCTTTTTTTTATATTATTCAGAAAATAGAAATGCAATGACAACAGTTATTAACGTGGGGTACTTATATTGATTGAAGATATTTTGTTTTGTAACATCGAGTAATATATGTATAGTTTATCAGTATTAGATTTTTGTTCACAAAATAATTGATTTAATTTTCTAAGAGTGTTGTTTTTTAATATATTAAATACTTTTAACTTTATAATACTTAAGGCTTTTATCCAAATTTTTTTTTAGTTGTATTATTTAGAAACGGCGAGTATTACCTTTATCTATTTACTAACATAATATTAAATTATACAAAAACGTATTCCATTTATTTATTTTTACAAGATACTTGAGCAAAATAATTTTTGACGATATCTTTATTATTTTATTCTATACCAAAGTACTTATAGTAATTTTAAAACATGGTAATTTATTTTATTATTTAACCAGCATTTCTTTTAATAAAATACGTGTACCTATTTTAAAACTATATTTGAACCATAAAACATAAAAGTACCACAATAAATTGTTCAATTGGCTGGCGATAGTTGTATAGTGTGTCACTGGTCAATATAAGTTTAGGTCTTAAACGCGAGCTCTTACAATTAATTTTCATTGTGAAAGTGAATACGAGGGAGGAGGGCATAAAAGAGCAGAAGTTCCAATAAAGAAAAGATTTAACAACCCTGCCGCAGTCGTTTGTGTGCGAGACATTGTTAATAAGAGTTTTAGAGGACGCAATAAATAAACCCATAAAACGCGTAAGGAGCGTAATATTGGGACTCCGCATGCCAGCTATTACAGTTATGCCTCCCCTGCTACACAAGGGGCGGGTCGACGGTCATAAAAACTTTGACGGCTCTGGCGAGGGTGACATATCCCTCCCGGATCACTTTGTAGCTGCAAAGCTCGTAAAGGGAAGAAAGAGAGAAAAGGGAAACTTAAGAGAAAGAAGAAAGTATAAGATATAATATAAACCCGACTACGCCGTTGGAATCGTTATTGGCGAGATCCGCTTTCAACATCTTCAAACTGCTTTATTGTGTTGCAACAGCTAGGGGTGGATTTTACTCAATATACATTATATACCCTGTGAAAAGGGCAGGTTTTCTTTCTTGTTTTTTCTTTATAATATAATATATATATATATATATGTATATAATGTATATTTTAGTTTTTATCTTCTATAAAGTCTCATGAATATTTACAAGAAAGACTTAGCTATTCCAATCTCGCGCTTTCGTTTGTCGCAGTAAATGTCGTATTTTTTAGAGRGCAGAAAGCGAAAAAAAAAGAAAAACCTTTTGCTACTTTTATAAACTCTACTGAAATACTGTTAGACATGTTTTTTTTTTTAATCTGGGATATAGGTGCTCAACTACTCTGTTACATTTACATAGTTGTTTTCTTTATAAGCCAGCACTTTACGACCACTATATTGTGTTGATTAATTCAATGACTACATTATTTTAAATATATCATTATTTAATTAACAATAGATTTTTGTTTACGGTTTGATTAAATATTTAAAAAAAAATATATGTTTGTAAAAGAGTACAAAGAACCCGTCCCTAACAAATACTTTCGAGTAGCGGACACATTTTCAGTAACCGAGAATATCTAATATTTAGAGGTTTAACAGTGAAAAAACAAATTGATAAAATTCCAAGTATGATATACAATTGTTTGTGATTTGTAAAACGGATTAAATGTTTTAAATCAATGAAAATCAATAGAAATTAAATTTTTGATTTTAATGAAAAAAAAGTTTGATACAAATTAAATAGGTAGCAAATAGACAGAAAAGTGGGAACCGCTGTATGGTATAGGTGTCAAGTAGTTCATTATAATGGATGATGTATTCAATTTGAATTCAATAATATATCATTGTATATGAATAACGATTCTGAACGAAGACAGCCCATGAGCCAATCCTATGAGATGTGTTTTATATATTTATAATGCATTGATAATTTATTTCAGTATTATAGTATTTGTCAAAAATATAGTATTATTATAAAATGTATACCTATC